GTCAGAGTCCTTGAAATCGACACGTTTGACGGAGGCATTACGTACGAGACGCCGGTCCGTCTGTCGCATGAGGATGAAGTCGAGGCGGTGCTTCTCCTTCCCCTTGTTGGAGCTCTGGAACGTATGCTGCACTCCTCCTTTCGGTGTCCGGAAGTAGGTGTTGATCAGGGAGAGTCGGTTGTCTGCTGCCAGTCCGAGAAGTCGTTCCCCGTTGTTGTTCATAATGTCGCGTCCGTACGCGCCCATCATCTTGGCATCGCAGCATCCGTCCCGCCTCCTGCCAGTACGTGCGTTGGCGTCCATGATGGTCACGGAGGGGTACTTAGTCGCAGATCTCACCCCGCTTCGCGGCAGGAGTACGACTACCGCGTCATCCTGCACTGCTGTGACGAAAGCACGCGTAGCATGTGCCGTTGGAGTCGTACAGTACGGATGAAGACGCCGCAATTGGGGCGTAGGTTCTCATAGAGGTAGACCCAAAGGAAGGGAGCGGGAGGCGCAAAAGGGTGACAACCCCCAATGTTCGCCTCACGGAGCTTGCAACATAATCACGGGGTAGTTTTCGTTGTTGGCAAGTCAGCTTGCGGGTGAGGCATCATGCGGTGTTTATGCATTTGTTTAGTTTCAGCCCTCACTCATGAGGGGGGTACAGGACCTTGTAGCGATAGCGAGACGTTGCCGCTGGATACATTTCGCTTCTAGGGAGTGGCCTTACGTGCAGCAGTCGGTAGTGAGAATCGGGGTTGAGTACGGGGGTCGAGGAAAGCAGTGCAAATCATATGTATACTTGGAATGTTGTGTAGCATGCGAGCAGAGAAATAANGTGAGAATCGGGGTTGAGTACGGGGGTCGAGGAAAGCAGTGCAAATCATATGTATACTTGGAATGTTGTGTAGCATGCGAGCAGAGAAATAAGAAATTGCCGATTTAAGAAATCAGCAGGATTTAGAATAAAAAACAAGAAACTTGAAATAAGAAACTGAACGACATACGCTGAGTTCATAGCCCACAACAAGAATTCGAGGCTGGACCTGAAATAAGCGTTTCTGAACTGCGGACGCCAACTGTATAGTCTACACCCCCCGAGACGCTCTTGCTCCGCAACCACATGAAGGTGCTATAGTCTAATAGAACACCCGACAAACCGAGTTCCCCTAAATCTTCCGTCTACAACTTCCCAACATAACATACAGATAGATACACAAGATGGCTACCAAACTACCTTGTCGAGCCTGTTACCCACGGGGGAGTTATCGTTGTATACTGTCTGGGAAACCGTAGACATGCAGGTAGCCTTTCGCTTACGCTATGGATTCATTGCTAATCTAATTTCAACATTGGTAGAGATGGATTTGTTGTGTGATATTTATTAAAATGGTATGCATAGTTTTCAGCACAGCAGTTGTACAACCAAATGTTGTTTTCAGACTGTGGACACAACCTACCGCCGTGCTTCCGCCGAAACAGACCAAGAGACATGCGCCTCCCACGACAGCTCCCGTGCAGCAGGATGGCTTGGCGTAGTCGTGGCGGCTCCAGCAGCTAGGCTCTGTGTCAACTTGCCAAAGGAGCCCCGTTTTTCCCGCTGCTCTACATGTGTGATGTACGTTGCCATGGGTTGATCCCTCGGAAAATAATGGCAGAGAAATTTCGTCCAATCAAATCACAGCGAATAGCGAACCAAACACAGGAACGGTACAGGTGGAGCGCCACAGTATTGCGAACACGAGTGAGTCTCGATACGTGTGTGTTGCACGTCAAGGGTGACTTCAGCTGTTGAGCAAATGGCTTCTGTGTGTCAAGCCGACAAGACCAGTCAAGGCCAAGCAAGTGTACGTGGTGGCCAGGACGCGACTGCTTCGTCCAGGGAACAGCAGCAACGCCAGCATGCTGAAGACGGCGAAAATGTGGCACATCAACAACCCGATAACCGCATGGCGGCAGCCATGAAGAGAGGAGGCATCATGGGCTGGGGATCCTACTTGACGTTCGCCTGGGCAGGGTCTTTCCTCAAGCTCGGCTCCACTGTCACCCTCAAGGAGGAGCACCTTGAAGGAATCTACGACAAGCACGAGAGGTGGGAAGCGGGACCAAACAAACATGTTCAATGACAGGGGTTTTGGCCGCTGCCGCCGCTGGTCATTGGAGCGATTCCAAGATATTGCTATGTTTTTCTTCCGCAACAACATGTGTTCGACGGTGTGTTTTTGATGTGGGCATGGTCCAGATGTTTGTGTGACATGTTGTTTCCGGCGCTAGTGGCGGGCCTTGACGACGTTGACCCGTCCAAACCGATCCCAAGATGACAGTTTCGTGTGGACCACGACACTTGCGTGTGCTGACACAGAAAGCACCTCGGGCGCACTGAACCCGCCGGGAAATCGAGACAACCTATCCATCTGACTGACGAAGGCAGGGCTGTTGCTGTGGCTATTCGCGGAAATGCGTAGAGACGCAGAAAAACACATCAGGGGCGTGGAACTCGAACCCAATACCATCATCATACAACAGCAGTACTGTCGGTAGTCCGATATAATGCCGGTGGTTGACACCGATTTCGGACTTGTCAACCACGACACCGAACCAACACCCCCACATATTCTAGGCCTTTGCTCCATCGGCCGTTTTGTTTGTATGACGGAAAATAAGGTGAAATTTACTTGAAACTAGTACGGAAATGAAGTCGGGCGGTGGCCAAAATACCGTATACCGTGCTGGAATGTGGCCAAAGCACGGTACAGGGTAGAACGGCATACAAACGAGGCTGAATGGAGCCACGTGATTGGTCGAAATAGGACCGCTCCCTCCGGTGGCCAATATATCGGACGGTATACCTTGCAGAGGCCACTCAGCTCGCGAGGCCACCGTGTACGGTAACCACATGTACCGTGTTTTGGCCACCTCGAGCGAGGCTGTTCGCTCAACCGACCGACGCATGTCAGGCCTCTCGCCAACGCCCCGCCGGTGACGTGGACGCGCAGTGCACACGCGATCGCGGACAAACTTTTGGGATGGATGCATTCCTTCTCTCTTTCTCTCGCATCTCGCACACCACACAACCACAAATTATTCACACACCACACACCACACAC